TAAAAAAACATCTCCTTAAATAAAAATGAGTGAAAAGGCAAATTTGATCAACTGAATTACAAATGTCAACAACATTTGAAGAAACCCTAAGAATTGTGTCAGACAAAAACAATGATTCTTGCTGTTCCTTCTTTCTGCCCGTTACCTCTAAATAGAAATAAGATTTACTTTATGTCTGCCTTGCTGGAACATAATGGTTACCTTCCTGGATAAGCATCAGAATATACAATCAGTGGCTCAGTGAGACTAATCTTTACAGCAAACTGTCCTCCCCACCAACCTCATGGGATGTTGAAAGAGCAATGTCACAGCTTTGCATATTCCATGGCTCGAGCTGTCAGGGGGTGAGCCGTTAACTGAGGCAGCCAACTGCCTGTGAGTCCGGAGCGCTCCTTCTCTCTTTCAGTCTTACCTTTCAAATTTAAAATGTTTGGGTTTTCTCCAGGGAGACATTTCACTTGACAATATGCCCCAGGAAATCAAAGAAACATGGAGGAAAAGAAGGCAAGCATGAGAGAGTAGACCTTTCCCTCCCTGTCACCCTGGGGTTCTCTAGTGCATGTGATTCTCCCCACCTATGAGAGCTCACCCCCTAGGACTGAAGGGATGGAAGGGATCCTTAAAGAAAGTCACAATGACAATTATGAGTTTTCTTTTAGAGCCATATATGTGTTTAGGATAGATGAGGTGTCAGGAGAGAAACTTGATTTCAGTAGAGTTTCTCAGGAAGATCTCAGTGTATTTTTATCTGGAATGGGGACTAAAATACTGTATGAAGAAAACTAAATTATAAGAATTTTATCAGGGCTTCCCTGGTGGTGCAGTGGTTGAGAGTCCGCCTGCCGATGCAGGGGACACGGGTTTGTGCCCTGGTCCGGAAAGATCCCACGTGCCGCGGAGCGGCTGGGCCCGTGAGCCATGGCTACTGAGCCTGCGCGTCTGGAGCCTGTGCTCCGCAATGGGAGAGGCTGCAACAGTGAGAGGCCCACGTACCGCAAAAAAAAAAGAGTTTTATCAGATAAGGATTTTCACTGGCTTACTGTGAGTACTGTTTCTACTACTTTTATCACTACTACTGGAGGCTAACATTTACTGAGTGACAACCGTCTGCCAAGCAAGGGGCCAGGCGCCAAAAATTTCTCCCCACACCGTCTGACCCTATAAAAATTAGGAAATGAAATCTCATGCAGTGTAAACCCATCAGCGGTTCTTCATATAGCCAGTGGGGGAGTCTGAATTTGAACCCAGATCCATCTTGACTCCAAAGGCTAAAATCTTCTTGCTTGCCACATACTACTATTTTTCCAAAGATAATGATACAGTAAGTGTTATCATTTACTGAATACCCACCAAGGGCCACACACTTTGCATATATTATTTTATCCTCATCACAAGGAGGAAATTAAAACATAAATAACTGACTTAAGGTCACATAGGCTGTTATTTGCAGAGATGGAATTTCAATTTCCGTCTATGTACCTCATTTTCTTTTTTCCAACACAGGCTAGGTGTGCTGGAAGCAGAGGTGGGTGTTTGGATTGCTTGCTTTGGAAAATATGTTTCATCAATAACATAAAGTTCATGAAAAAGAAAAACACTGGTCTTTCTATCCTTTCCTTTTGCATCCCTTCTACAATCATATCAAAAAAGACTCTTGTTCTCTCCGATTAACTCTTCTATTTTTGTTAGGAGATGAAGGCAAACTAGTGATGGAAGGGAAAAATAAGACATTTTTTGTTTAGCCACAGAAAGGCCAACTTTGTCTTAAAGATATTTAAGCCACCAAACCCCTCCCTTCATGAGCTGAGAATATTAATTTGAATTCCTGCAGAGGAAAAATTAATCGTTTTGCATATGGGGAGAATGTGGTGTTTCTTGGAACATGTGAATCCTTCCATTAATTTAATGGAAACTCAAAGTGAGGGAAGTATCTGGAAGACACATTCTATGATAGTCATCATAAATCTTGTAAGAAACCAAAGTATAAATTGGACACAAGCACAACTCAAAGTTCTAAGCAGAGTCGAATGATTATTGTCAAGAAAGTGTGGAGACTTCCCTGGTGGCACAGTGGTTAAGAATCTGCATGCCAATGCAGGGGACACGGGTTCGAGCCCTGGTCCAGGAAGATCCCACATGCCGAGGAGCAACTAAGCCCGTGTGCCACAACTGCTGAGCCTGCACTCTAGAGCCGGCAAGCCACAACTAATGAGCCCGCATGCCACAACTACTGAAGCCCGTGAGCCTACAGCCCGTGCTCCGCAACAAAAGAAGCCAACGCAATGAGAAGCCCGTGCGCCACAGCGAAGACCCAATGCAGCCAAAAATAAATAAATAAATTTAAAAGTAAAAAGAAATTGTGAATTTTGCCTTTTGCTTTGTAGAACTAATTGCATACTCTGCCTCCGTTAACAAACTGACACAAGGTGGGTTCATCAAAGTGGGTTGCAAAGCAGTGTGTAAATTAACTATGGGGTCTTTCAACATCCAGTGCATTAAAGAAGAAATCTGTGGGAAAATGTTAAAAACTTGTTCAGAAAGTTAAGTGTTGGGTAATTCCAACAGTTTAGAGATATCTGCCTGTGGAAAACAAGACGACCATCTGCAGCTTAGTAAATGTGTGGTGGGTGAATTCCAGAGTGATGCTGGGTGAGATTTGCAGGCTGTTCCGTACATATCACCAGTCATAGCTGTGATAGTATTTTTTTCTGTTATAGCAATTCCTTTTTTGATACTCACAGGGCTTATGTCAAGAAAGAAAATGTTCTTCCTTCCTATAGCTCTGATTAACCTATCTTGTCAGCACATCCTGCTTTCTTGAGATTAAAAAAAAGAATCTAGGGCTTCCCTGGTGGCGCAGTGGTTGGGAGTCCGCCTGCCGATGCAGGGCACACGGGTTCGTGCCCTGGTCCGGGAAGATCCCACATGCCACGGAGCGACTGGGCCCATGAGCCATGGCCGCTGAGCCTGCACGTCCGGAGCCTGTGCTTCGCAACGGGAGAGGCCACAACAGTGAGAGGCCCGTGTATCGCAAAAAAAAAAAAAAAAAAGAATCTAGTAAATTTTTTAAAATGCTAATTTTTGTTTTCCATCCCTATGAAAGAAGAGGAATACAAATTCTTGGCTCTGCTAGGTTTGTTGCCCTGATTATCAAACCACACTTCACATTCCTGTTAACAAAATGACACACTTGGTAAGGGGACCACCTAGCAGTTTCTATTTTGTCCTTGAAATTCCTAAACTCTTAGGAAGAAAAAAAAAACGCAGCTCCAAACTCAGTTAGGACTGGCTTAGCTTTAAATTCAGTGAATAATTACATTTCTATGTTAGTGGTCTCTTTCTCCCTTCCTCTCTACCCACCCCTTCCTCTACTATATATGTGTGGATGTGTGTGTGTTTGTGGATGTCTGTCTGCTCGATGTGGAAGAAAGGGCCATCAATTTTAAAAAAGCTCAAAACCTACCCTTCCTGCTGTCTCCAGTGAGCAATCAAAAAGCAATGGTTCATTTTATCACTTGATAAAAATGTCAGTATATCATATAGGGCACTATATTAAAATATATTGGAATTTCCCATTTTAAAATATGGAACACATAGTTATTATTCCAGTTTGGAAATTATCCCGTCGTGTGGCCTGGGACACGTCACATACGCATAACATCTACATGCATGCTTGTGTTTGCACCTCCAATGTTCCTCTCTGTGAAGGAGATTGGGCTACTGTTTAAAGCCTGAGTAGAATCACTTATTGTTCAGCTGTAGTCACTCCCCCACCCACTTCTTTGGGAGGAGCATGCTTGTTCTCTTTGTGACCTGCTCCAGCCAATGGAGTTTGAGAGAAGTAACCGTGTGTGCGTTCTGGCAGGAGAGCCTAAATATTAAGAAACATTGTATGTTTTTATTCATGTATCTGGGGTCTTCCAAACTTTGTCATTAGAAGAACATCCCGAAGTAGCTGCAGGCCTAGAATGAGACTCATAAAGCAGACCTGGAAGGACCCACAGCGTGAGGCAGAGGCTCAGAAGTCCCACTGCCAGCAAACAGGCAAAGCCATGCTAGGTGATCTGTAAACAAGAGAACAATGGGAACATGTGTATATGTATAACTGATTCACTTTGTTATAAAGCAGAAACGAACACACCATTATGTAAAGCAATTATACTCCAATAAAGATGTAAAAAAAAATTAAAAATTAAAAAAAAAAATTCTGAAATCCAATGTTAAGGCAGTTATGGCCAATTAAAAATGAATTATATAGACCAAAGATTAACCCCAAACTTTATGTTTTTTGCTCTTAGGTAATTTGTCAGGGATGGAGTAAACTGTGACTGTGTCTAATATCCTCAAATGTAAAATGGGGAGAATAGCAGTACCATTTTATAGTGTTGTTCTCATAGGAATTAAATTAATAATAAAAATGGATGTAAAGGTGCCCCCCAAGAACCAAGAGAACAAATGGTTATCATTTTATGCCACGGGGTTTTGGGGTGTTTTGTTGCACAGCGTTTAAAGTGGCAGTACAGGAGCAACATACCAGCATAGCTTATAGCATTAATATTCTGTGATTCTAATTCTATGCTTTATTGTGGATTATGCCTATCAACTACTTACTCATCTTAAAAAGGTGTAAGGTTTGCACATGAATAATAATATGGCTTCTTGGTAACTATCAGAGGTTTTGTTTTCCATGTATTTTTCTGTGTGTGCTTATGTAGTCTAGGCTTAATTCAGGGATTTGATATTAATAAACCAACTTCTCTGACAAGCACGTATTAGGAAGTCAGATGAGAAGTTACTTTGGGGGCGGTATCCTCAACTCTAAAACTCTTTCCATCATGTTCTGCCCAAGTTACTTGACCTCTTTAAAAAACTGGAACACGTCCTATTTAAATATCTCCATTTTTCCCCTCTGACCCAGCATAGGCACGAAGGACTTGGAAATTTTGACAAGTATACTAGTAGCGTCTGAGAAATCATGGTGGCGATTAGAATGGACATACCCACACGACACCTTTTGCTGGTTTACTTTGTGCATTTAGATGGTCGACGCGGCAGACGATTTTGATGTGAGTAGCTCTCTAGGTGACTGTCTTGGGGGTACTGACATCTTCTGATTTATGTAGCTGGAAGTGGACCTGCAAGGTAGTAAATTCCGCATTAGCACGAGCAAAAGGCAAATTGAGTGATAATCCCTGAACGATGCTGAGAAACTCTCAAATTCTTGCCTTCCGCTGTTAACGCCTCCTGTTCACAGGTCACTTCTTGCACTGCACTGAAAAGTGGCTCTTCAAGCCATATATTTGCACCTGCCTCAAGGAATTAACTTAGCTGCTCTCCTTGTTAGCATACTTTGTACACTTCATTACTTCAGAGACCTTGCTAAAAATGTGACCCTGTGTAGCTGTTGCTGCCTTCTTTGTGAATCGAAAGCTAACCAAGCCTAAGAGCCAGATTAAGTGGCATGGAAATTTAAGAAGACAGCTGGTGCCCTACTCTGAAATGGAAATACTACACTTAGATCTCATGTTTCATTCTTATGCAGTAGAGATATATTAAGCCCCAAGAGGAACAACACAACAGAATTCTTTCAGGCATCAATAATCTTTTTCTTCTATTCTTTAGTCATTGGAAACCTGGCCATAGATTGCAACTGGCCATTATGATAGGTAGGACAAGAAGGAAAATTATCTAACAAGCTGCCTCTATCTATCTATCTATCATCTATCATCTACCTATCTCCTTCCCTCCCAATCTTGCTATCTAGAAACATGGTGGGGGGTAGCTTGTTTATTTTCTGAGACTAGGAGCCCCTAATTTAAAAATCAGGCTAGGCTATTATGAATTGAAGATCAGATTTTTCTCTTATTAGTGCTGCTAGTAGGAAAATGCTTTATAGGTTTTTTCTTTGCAAACTGATTATGCTGTGGAGGAAAATAAATTCTTTAAGACTCATCCTCCATGAGCCTAAACCACAGATGACTTTTAAAATGACAAAAATTAGTACAAATGGAAGTGGGCTTTCATACTGGCTATTTTAAATATTCATGAAAAAGGCTGCTAATTTACTTTTGACTACTGTCCACATTTTCTGACATGGATATTTTCTGTCTGAATGCATATTTTACTTCTCAAGAAAGAGAACAGACAGTGGAAGGGAAATAGCATTATCGACTACCTACACCAAGAATTTTGCTATGAGAGCAATGTAGAATTTTTTCATTTAATTTTTTAAGGATTAACATTGCTATCAATCAGGATAATAATTACATTTACCATTATTACACAACCTTCAAACAGAGAATTTGCATAGCTTTTACTCATCTATATTATATCACTATAAAACTGGAATGGTGTTATTATTTATTATTTCAAGAAGGAAGACACAGGGTTTTAGGTATCATATCCAAGGCCATATAATATTCAGTGATCGAGACAGGCTTAATACGGTGTCTAGATGTCCCAAGCCATGCTTGGTATGTGGTATCTAAAGAGCTGACTTATTTCCCTATCTAGGAAAATGCTTAGTTTTCTGATAACTTTCACTTATCGTAGATCTCAGCAGCAGAGCTTAAACTCCATTATATCTCATGATAAAAATAATTGTCATCTCCTTTGCAGTATAACAAAAGTTCTTAGAGCAAAAACAATAATAATAATTTAGGTCTATTCTTCAGGCAAGTTTGAACTTGATTGCCAAAAATATTTCCCCCAACTCCACTGAAGCTATTAACTAGGCCACCCCTATTCTTATGTTTCATAGCATACTTTGTTACTTTTTCATGACTTTAATTTATTATTTGTATATCTAATCAATGTTTATCTTCTCTGCTGGAAACACAATGAGGTCAGGTATTATCTATCTTAAATAATAATAAATCCAGTGAATAGCAAAATTTTGTATATATAAAATGTCTTTAAAATGAATAAATCCCATCTTCTGCTAATCTTGGGCCTCTTGTTATTTGTGTATTTGCTTAACAAAACCAGCTGGTCATGTAGAAAGATTCACACTAACAAATATAACCCAAACTGAAATAATGAAAGCCCATGGATTTGATGTAGTTTTCCTGGAAATTCTAGCAGAGCTGGTGCTTAACTCCATTTATGGTGTATTGACATCTGTATTTAATGACCATTAAGTCTCCACCGAATTGATATGGGGGAATGTACCATATAGCCATTGTTACATTTTCCTTCTTGCCTTTGCAAACTTATGACACTTAACATTCACTTGGTTTTCTCGGGGAAGACCAAGTCCAAGTCATCACTGCCTTTTCTCATGCATCTGTGAAAGTGTATGTATGTGTGCAATAGAAATAGCTCTCATCCTGTCCTCAACATCAGTTACAGCCTAGACAAATGCTTCTGATGACTGGGATTTACCTAGATAACCTTCTGAGACCTTAATTTACTCTGTCTATAAGATAGCCTCTTTTGCCAATCAAACAGCAGTCTTCCTGATGGAAGCATTGACACTGACATGAGTTAACTTGCCCAACATTAGACATCTAGGAAGTTGATGAGCTAAGATCAAAATTAGGTTTATCTTATTCCATAGACTTAGCACTGGCTCATTATTTATACAACAAAGGTAATAACAGCGCTTGATTCAGGCCACAAGGATTATAGTCATATAGGTCAAGCTCTGAGTACAGTCTTGCTAATTGTAAGTTAAGTAAAATCGATTCTAGCTATATACAACTCTACTGGTCATATGCAGTGCCTGAACCTGAAACAGGACAGCAACACGGGGGGAAGAAAAGGGACACTTCATGCCAGTCAGGGATTGTTAACTCTAAGTTGTAGGCAAGAAGTAGTTACTCCAGAAAATACAATACCAGTTCTTGCTCACCAAATAATTGGTTATTTTTATTCCTTTGTTTTTTCCCCTCTGATTCCAGCATATTTTAATGTTGGTGTTGTCCATACACTTAAAATGCCTCAAGTAATGAAGGTTGCCACAATAAATTCACTCAAAAACAAAAAAGATGTATTACAATTCTCCTGTGCTCCTCTGACCAGAAGTGAATTGTGTTTGGAGTTGCTGACATACTGGGGATGACTGTGGCTCTCTAGGTGGCTTTTTCATCAGAAGTGGCCTGAAAAGGGTGAAGAATGTTATCCTATTCTTTAGGAACCCACAGAGGCCAGATATGAAACCAGGCAAGAGGGAAGCATAACACCAAAGATGTTCTTATATAATATTCAGATTTAGGAGATGGAATGACAAAATTGAATGGGAAGCCCATTGAGCAAAACCATAGGGCAGGAAGCTGAAGCTGAAGGACAGACCAGTCAAGGGGAGACAGGTCCAGGAAGGTGACACAAGTTGTGGTATACACTGATCCTGAACGATGTTGTAAAGGTTTAGAGCCAAACCCGAGTCATCAGAAAAAGAAAAAGTGGGAAAGTGAGAGAGAAGATCAAGTCAGCCAACCAGGCTGTTCACAGAGAAGGGAAAGGCCATTCAATGAGATAATTTTCACTGGCTTTGTCAGGGCTTAAGATTCAAAGGTGTAACTAGTGGTCAAGGGAGAGGGCTTACATCAGATTAAAGTCGTTTAACTACTCTGAGCCACACAGTCAAGACCGAACTTCTCTTTAAAGTAAAAATATTGAAAAAAAAAAAAGTAAAAATATTGGATTTTTTCCAATAAACTAAGAGGATCATCTTTAGTTCTAAATTCCATCATAGAAACAAATGACAATGAAAACACAATGACCCAAAACCTATGGGATGCAGCAAAAGCAGTTCTAAGAAGGAAGTTTATAACAATTCAATCTCACCTCAAGAAACAAGAAAAATCTCAAATAAACAATCTAACCCTACACTTAAAACAACTAGAGAAAGAAGAATAAAGAAAACCCAAAGTCAGTAGAAGGAAAGAAATCATAAAGATCAGTGCAGAAATAAATGAAATAGAAATGAAGAAAACAATAGCAAAGATCAATAAAATTAAAAGCTGGTTCTTTCAGAAGATAAACAAAATTGATAAACACTTAGCCAGACTCATCAAGAAAAAAAGGGAGAGGACAAAAATCAATAAAATTAGAAATGAAAAAGGAGAAATCACAACTGACACTGCAGAAATACAAAGGATTATAAGAGACTACTCAAACAACTAAATAAAATGCCAATAAAATGGACAACCATGAAGAAATGGACAAATTCTTGGAAAGTACAAGACTGAACCAGGAAGAATTAGAAAATATTAACAGACCTATCACAAGTAATGAACTTGAAACCGTAATTAAAAATCTTCCAACAGGGCTTCCCTGGTGGCGCAGTGGTTGAGAGTCCGCCTGCCGATGCAGGGGACACGGGTTCGTGCCCCGGTCCGGAAAGACCCCACATGCCGTGGAGTGGCTGGGCCTGTGATCCATGGCCACTGAGCCTGCGCATCCAGAGCCTGTGCTCCACAACGGTAGAGGCCACAACAGTGAGAGGCCCGCGTACCGCCAAAAAAAAAAAAAAAAATCTTCCAACAAACAAAAGTCTAGGACCAGATGGCTTCACAGGCGAATTCTATCAAACATTTAGAGAAGAGCTAACACTGATCCTTTTCAAAATCCTCCAAAAAACTGCAGAGGGAGAAACACTCCCAAATTCATTCTATGAAGCAACCATCCTCTCTTACCAAAACCAGAAAAAGATATCACAGAAAAAGAAAACTATAGACCCATATCACTGATGAACATAGATGCAAAAATCCTGGAAAAAATACTAGCAAACAGAATCCAACAAGACATTAAAAGGATCATACACCATGATCAAATGGGATTCATCCCAGGGATGCAAGGATTCTTCAATATATGCAAATCAATCAATGTGATACACCACATTAACAAATTAAGGAATAAAAACCATATGATCATCTCAATAGATGTAGAGAAAGCTTTTGACAAATTTCAACACTGATTTATGATAAAGACTCTCCAGAAAATGGGCATAGAGGGAAACTACCTCAACATAATAAAGGCCCTATATGACAAACCCACAGCAACCATCATTCTCAATGCTGAAAAACTGAAACCATTTCCTCTAAGAGCAGGAACAATATAAGGATGTCCACTTCCCAGTCTTATTCAACATAGTTTTGGAAGTACTAGCCACAGCAATCAGAGAAGAAAAAGA